CAAGGGAGAGAGAATAGATAAAGAAGAGCGCCATCTTCTCTATTCATCTGTCTTCTATTCTCTTCCTTGCTCTTCCCATTAAATATGCAATCCTTGGTATCTCTCCTCTCTCCTTCTCTCTTCCTCCAACAGATGTGCTTTTGGATCGTTTTCTGCATCTTCAAGCGAGAAAAAAGGACACAGAATGCGATTAAAAGGGACGCCCATGTTGGATTGGCAGCAAGCCCAGCTGATGCTCATGATTCTCTCTCTTTTTCCCTACATATGGGCGATGGAACGGGTGTCCTTTTCAATCGTTTTCTGCATCTTCAAGAGAAAAAGGGACACCCCACAAGAAGGAAAAGTAACATAAGAGATAGGGAGGGAAATTGAAGAACTCCTCATTGTACTTGGTCATTCCCTTTCCTCTCTTCTTATCTGCCCATTTTCTGTGCGCCTTGTTTTGTCTCCCCCTCTTCTCCCATCATCTCTCTTCTGGTCTTTTCTTTGCTTTTCCCATTAAAAATGCAACCCTTTTTATGTCTCCTCTCTCCTTCTCTCTCCCTCCTCTTCTCCTTTTCCCTTCTAAACGACAAAAACGCAAGAAAGGAAGAATAAGAGGGGAATGGAGGCCCTGTTCCTTTTCCTCTTTCAATGGATGGGGGAAGTGGGCGGAGTTGGCCCCTTGCCCGTACACCCTCCCCATGCTTCAGCAAACCCCTCCTCTCGCCCTATCGCCTCTGTTTTTTTCCTTGTGCCCAAACGGAAAACGAAAACGGGTTCCTTTATATGTTCATTGTCCTTCCTTTTGTTTTTTTATTTCACAGGGAAAAGAACCAGAGAAGAGGAAGATAAGAACGAGAGGTGAGATGAAAACGGCACCATCTTCTCTTTGCCTTATTTTTGCACCTCCCTCTCCTGTCTTAATTTCTCTTCCACTCTTTTTTTCCATTGCTCTTCCCATAATATTGCATTCCTTTTGATAACTCACAGGAAATTAAAATGGCCTCCTTGTTGTCTCTCCTCTCTCACTTCCCTTTCCCTTCTCTCCTTCTGTTTCCTTTTAATTTTAACTGATAAAACACAAGAAAGGAGCTTGTAAAATCAAGCAGTGGAAGGGTAAGCAGAAGGTGACTCCTTGTGCGTGGACCTTTGCCGTACTTCACCATACCCCTCTTTTCGGCCTATCTCTTCGGCTCTTTTCCTAACCCTTCTTCTTTTCATCTTTCTTTTTGTTTTTCTCATTTCGAAAAGACAGAGGGAACGGAGAGATAAGGGAGAGAGGATAGATAAAGAAGAGTACCATCTTCTTTGCGCCTTGTTTTATCTCTCTTCTATTCTTTTCTTGGCTCTTCCCATGAAAATCGTGTTCCTCTTATCTTTCCCTCCTTCTCTCCCTTCTCTTCTCCTCACGAGAGCCTTCGACTTTAGGATTGAGGAGAAAAAGAGAAGAGAAAAGAGGAACTACCTGGTTCTTGTTCCTGAGGCCTCCATAGTACGACTGACGTGACAGCAGCGTACCCTCGTGGAAACGTGTATGGCTATAAGAAAACCCGAGTCCCAGCTTCCAAATAGACCCTATTTAAGCCACCCACCCCCCCCCCCCCCCCCTGCCCCCTTCATGTGAAATCTGCTCCCCGAAGAGGTGCTTACATGCAGACGAATCCGGATGTGAAAGGAATGCAATCACCACAGGTCCACCCGGCCAGCGCACCTTCTCAGACCAATCTCATCCTTGGATGCAAAAAGAAGCACCATGCCAGGCATAGTGAAACATAGACTGTTTACTACGAAATGACTTAAGAACCACCCAAAAATAAATAAAAACTCTTCCTTATAAGGGTAATACAGGGATTTTTAATTTTTTTGGCGGGGGGATTCTTAAGAAATAGTAGTTTACCCCGCAAGTGCAGCCGAGAATCCGAAACGCCAACTGGGCTTAGGACTTAAAGGAGATGTCGCGTGGAGGGCAGATTCCGGCTCCACGGTTCAACGCTGGATGTCTGAGTGTTGCCATGTGGAGGTTTACGAGAATAGGGGATCCCCAAGATAGAGCCCCAAAGAGTCATTAGGATCCCCATATAGTAAGGACCCCAAGAACCCAAAAAGGTACCCCCAATCTCGGAAGCCTCCACGTGTTGCCCAAGTCAAGCCGATCTAACTGTACGTCACATCAAGGCCTTCTTGCAAGCATGATGAGGGGTACGGAGGCCACACTCTGACATCGGGTGCCACTTGCAAACGGATAAACGTCTAACGGCCCGTTCTAATCGTTCTACGCAACAAATCGGCATTGGGACGCCGGGAAAATGCTGCCATGAGGCTCGGAGAGCAAACTAAGCACATGACATGCAACACCGTGATTCCTCTATCTGTGCACCCCATCTCACGGTCATGCTGCAGCACCTGCCGCGGGCAGGTTGCACTTCCCCCGCCCACACCACGGGTCGCCGTCCCTTTTTAAGGGTTCATTATCGGAAATTGTCGGAGAATCCGTGGGATGCGTGACGATATATGGCTGCGAGAAGAACTGAGCAGAGACCTAACTCCATGTACATCTGGGCATCCCCAACATCGCCTCGACGTCCGTCGTGCCGAACACCTGAAAAACGGCAGCGGCGTACACTGCTCCCCACGCTCTCGAAACTGAGGTGTTCTGTGCCCATGCCAAGGGCACATGACATACATGACATAAGCTTCACGTACCCGCTGCTCTCATCTTCAGCTTTAGGAAGTAAGCATGTCAGCCGAGTCCAACTCTCCGTGCTGAGTAGCAAACGATTGTGGGAGCTCCCTTTTACCTGCGCATGAATGGTGCCAGTCTACAGGCGTGGCTGCCTCACCTTTTAACATTGTGGAACATGATTCAAACAGTGCACATCTCCAAAAGACTCACAAGCTTCAGCCAGAGGGTGGAAGGTTGATGGGCATGTTGCCACTCCGCCGCCCCTACCACTTCGTTCGTTACACTCACGATCATGTGCATGGACGGTGTCTCTGCCTTGCGCGTGCAGCCTCCATTGCTCTGTGTGTATCCGCTGCGGTCTTGACCCTGACCAGAAGGCACACACTCACTGATCAGCAAGGTGTCGAAAGACCCGGCAGCCTCTGGCCGATAAACGTTGAAGCCAGCACGGCGAAGATGATGCAAACAGTCTTCTCCTCCTTTCCAAGGCAATGCTGGCCCTCTCCAGTCCCCGATGAACTCGCCAAAAACAAAAATGCAAGATTTGGGGGGGTGTACGAAAATAAAAGACCCCTGCTGTAGACCCCAAGTAGTAGGATACACGTATCTTGAGGACCCCAATAAGGTACCCCCTAACATCGAAGACCCCCATGTCGAAGCCTACGGCAACTCATGGCAGGTCATTGCGATGCCTTGCTGGCTCCATGCTCGACGCCTTGGTTCAGACACATGCTTCAACGATCTGATCTCCTGTCCTAATCCTGACTTCTCATGGGAACCTTACCGTGAAGCAGTTTGCAATCATCTTGGCCGTCTTATCCAATTGGGGCTTTCCGAGAATGGGGGGATTCTATTCTATTTGGCGGAAAAAAGGGGTGCCCCTGTGAAATGCCCAATTGGCCTTTTTTGCAAGCTCCCCTGGTGTCTGAGGCATTGGCTTCATGATGGTTTGCAGTGCACTCTGCGCCACGTCTGTCTCCAGCAGAAGCTTCCTGCACGACGCAACATCTGGCAGAAACCCATGAAGGCCTTAGACTTAAGGAGCCAAGACCTCAGCAACAATCATGCTGTGCATTGGATTGGCTGAGATTTCCAGGGGGAAGGTTCTCCGATGTTAAGGGGGCTTAAAGGCTTCCTGCCTCTATACTCCTCTTGTAGAACCTCACCTAAACACGACACCCTAAAAATCGAGGGACCTGAGCAACTCTGTCATGCGCCTAAACATCAAACCCCAAGCTCCGACTCCGACCCAAGGCAATTCAACCGCGACCTGCACACACACCCTCAACCTCAAGCCCACGCCACACAAGCGATGCTCTGGTTGCACACGTTGCCCCCTTGATGTTTGCAATACAATATGCTCCTGTTACTCTTGGACAAGAGGTGTCGATGCTCTTCATGCTCGTTTCGGCGAAGGTGCGAACGTTGAATCTCTTTGGTTTTAACCTTGTGAATGGAGACTTTTTGTACGGACAAGCATCCACGACAACATCATGTCTTTTCCCATAAAAGCTGCGTCTGTCACTCTTAGAGGAGCATTTGTTAGGCCTGTATGAAGGAGGGTCTTGATTGCTAGTTCGCCCAAGGTACACCCAATACGTACGCTCACCAATCTTCCTGAGGAACCATATATACACTCACCAATGAACTATAATGAAAACTCTACCTCATACAAACCCTTGACAGGGCATGTATGGGGGACATTTTCGTATAAGGCACCTGCTTGATTCCTACATTTTCACCACTAAGAACTGATCACTCTCCCGACGTGCCTGCTCTTCTGGCTTTGCTCGGCTACCTGTCACCACATGGAAGGATGCAAGAAGATGCTGCTGACGATACTAGGGGGTACCTTATTGGGTCCTCAGTATCCCCGCACTTGACCAACAGCCATTTCAAATCTGCAATTTTCGAGTCCCAGTCTCCTACAGTACGTTGCGCGCAGGCAGTCCGCAGATGTGGTCTCAAGGCACTTCAAGGCTAGCGAGCACCCTCGACCGATACTTCACTGCACACATGTACAGGCTTAAGGAAGTTTAGGGTTTCGGCCGCGCATTTTTCAAGGGGCGGGTCCACTTCAACTACAAAGGCAACCTTCAACTCCCATTGGCAGCTCCTCCCAAAGGAGTGTGACGATGTGCTCGCACTGGCCGAAGCGCGTGGCCTCGAGTACTTTTATATGGTGTTTAGGATGTTTGGGGGTTTAGGGTTTAGGGTTTAGGGTTTAGGCTTTAGGGTTTAGGGTTTAGGGTTTAGGGTTTAGGGCTTAGGGTTTAGGATGTTTGGGGTTTAGGGTTCTACGGAAATTCAATACGAACCGACATCTGCTGCTGAATCACATCACATGCCTTGCCTCGCAGGGGTGCCAGTTCAGAAAAGAACAATATTCCATGAGCGGGTGGCAGTCTGAGGTACGCACTCCTCGCAGCAAGGTTGCATAGGTTTTCTCATCCGGCGTCTGTCCATCCTGGCACAGTCATGCCCAGCATCTTAAATTTCACGTTCAGACTCAGTCCCTAAACCCTAAACCCTGAACCCTAAACCCTAAACCATTGGTCACCTGGTGCATGCGCTCTAAGAGAGTCATTGCCAGGTCCATTCTTCCGTTCCTCAGTGGTGCCGATGTTGTGATCTGCAAGTCAGCCATGTTGATACCTTTGCCAAGTCTCCAAGTGCAGGAGGACATCAGTGTGGTGTATACCTGGCACAACCGGAAGATCGGTGCTGTGGCCGCTGCGGTTGCGTCTTGCTCACGTACTGGCACAGTCCATGTCAGGGTGGCGGCTGCGTTGGGCCGGAAACCAAACTTCCGCGGCATCTCATCCAGGACCTGACTGAGGAGGTTGCAACAAAAAATCAGGTGACGTCTTCGGCACATCCTTTGTGGACTTTGTAGGCACGGCTTGCTGTGCTTGTCACGGCCAGGTCGCCTTGAATGCAGCATTTAAGTCGGAAATGCGCCCGTAAAGCTTGATCAGGATGGAAGCCTTGGAAACCGGAGCAACGAAACACGGCATGCGTCTGTGGTTAAATGCAGTCTTTTGCTTGATGATCTATGCTCCATTATATACATATATATATACACACACACTACTGTACTGTCGCATGGGTAACGTATAATCTCTTGGTTCATGACATACTGAACATTTTGTACTACATGTTATCTGATCATGTTTTAAACGCACTTGTCAGACTCCGACCTGTGCTGTCGCGCTATGAGGTGCCGGCGGAATAGTTGCTCGGCTGCACACCAGCAGATACCATGTCCTCAATTACCTGACTGCTCGTGTCAATATAGCATACATATAGCATTCATAAAAGAATGCCAAAATGTCAGCAACAATGTATACTAAACAAGTACAGTACATAAAGCGATTGAATCTGAATCTAACATGAACTTGTTGCAGAAGACCGGTGTGCATGGTCGTGAAAGCACATGCCAGAGGCTTCGGCCACTCCGTTGTCTGTCTTCCCGATGCTTTCACACAATGCTTGGATACATTTGCCCTGCATGGCCTGCTCACAAAGCATAGGCATCTCCTTCCGGGCACATCCGTCCAGCAGGCTGTTAAAGACGATCGCATCTGGCTTGATGCCTGTCGGGGAAGACTGCATCACGTATCCACATAGTTTTGGTGCAGGTTCGCACAGTTGAAACCTAGAAGATGGGAGGGGGGGATGTCGAGTCGCACCATATTGTGGGATTACCACGCTTCACGAGCGACGTCATCCGCTCGGTGACAAGTTGGCCGCTCCGGGATCTGTTCAATCAATTCGTTAGGGCCTCTTGTTGCTTCACTCGAACCTCACAAACGTTTCCAGGAAGGGAGCTGGGCCGGAAAAACCAACATGTCTCTGTCACCCTGTCAATGCAAGAACATCCTGCTTTGACTTGGACATGTGTGAAATCTAGGTTGGGAGGAAGAGCAACAACAATCGAGGTCGAGCCATTCTACTCTAAACCTTAGCCCCCAATGGGCAGCCGCGCTGTTTTGGAAAGAGCCCGTGCCCCCCACCGCCCAGCTAAACCTGAGACGCGCCTTATGCGGACTGACCCTCAACCTAGGGTTTGGGGCTTAGGGTTTAGGGCTTCGGCAGTTCAGGCCCCAACAAGCCTGTGGAGCGCGGGTCGGGCCGAGGCGTAGAATGAATTCAAAGGCAACCCCGAAAGGGGATCCTAAACCCGCATCTCCACACCCTAAACACTATGTAAGCTCTAAACCCGAAACCCTAAACCCTAAAGCTTACTGTAAGATCGCAGTCTATGGCCCCCACCTATCCCATCGTATGAAGACACTTGAAGTTCCTCAGGAAAGGAATTCGTAGTAGGGTTTGCGGGTGCATAGGGTCTTCGGGCTTAGGGTTTGTGAGCTCTGGGGTTCCTTGGGGTTTTTTGGGGCTACGGTTCGACTCTGAGGAGGATTGCAAGAAAACTCGCCAGCAAGGGCACCCCAAACCCCCAAGCCCTAAACCCTAAGCCTTTCAACAAGTCACCCGCCTCGGCGTCGCATAGCGCCAAAGAGCTCCAGCGCATGGTCCAAATCTCCCTGGACGCAGTAGCCTTTGGAGAGAAAGCACCGGATCCGCACACATTCCAACTATGGTCTTCAACAGAGTCCAACGCTGAACGAGCTCAAGTGCAGCTGTCGTTTCTGTAAGCGCCGAGCCCTTGATCAACGTGCTATAGGTGATAAGGTCTGGGGAGAGGTCGTGGTCGGCCTTGCAAGAGCCGTCAAAGCGGCGACGCCGCGCGAAAACACCGCAAACACACCGAGCACTCAAATGCAAGTAACCCCTGCAATCGCTCCCTCACACCCCTCCCCCAAAACCCCAAAACCCGGAATCGCGCTTCGTCTCAGGATGTCTCGGGTCCGAGCCATGTCTTGCAGCAGCCCAGCTGCTCGGCTCATGTCCCCAGCTCTGCAGCAGGCATCCACCAAGGTGTTGAGAACCACCATGCCCACTGAGACTCCAGAAGCCTGCACAACACAGCACAGGGCTTGGGGTTTGGGTTTTAGGGTTTCGGGTGTAGGGTTTTCAGGGATACTGAGTGCAAAAGCCCTGGTTCTTAGTAGGGAGTGAGGGAATGAGCGCCCTAGATATACAGTTCGCCTCGGCTTCCTGCCGAGAAGCGTCTGGAACAAGCAGACCCGGATCGGGCATACGAAATTTTCTGACGCCACCCCCCCCCCCCCCGGCCCTGTGGGACCCCCCCCAATCGCTTGGAGGAGCTGCAAACCGATGCCGTGTGTCGGTGGCTCCCAAAACCCCCCCACCCCCCCCCCCCCCCAACCCCCCCCCCCCAACCCCCCCCCCCCCCCACCCACCCCCCCCCCACCCCCCCCCCCTCCCCCCTCCCCCCCACCCCTCCCCGCGCTTTGACCTCGCTGCCCTTCCTCCCCTTTTTTTGCGAAACCCTCTTTCCTCCTTTCCTGTCCTGGCCGGCCCGGCTGCCGAGGCGGCGCACGCAAGCGTTTACAATTAAGGGATTATACAGGGCCCTCATTCCCTCATTCCTTCATTCCCTACTAAGAACCAGCCAGACAACACAGCACAGGGTTTTCAGGGATACTGATTGCGTACGATTGCACACGATTGCACTGCACACCTGCTCACACGGACATGCATTCTGCGATATCGCAGTTCATTGCTATGGCCTTCATCTCCTCGTAGCATTCCAGGGCTCGAGCAGCATCCTGCCCCAAAACAACATAAAATAAAATCCCTGTCTTGCCCTTATGAGGATAACATTTGGTATTTGTTGAGGGGTACTTAAGCAAATAGTAGGAATAGGAATAGGAATAGGAATAGGAATAGGAATAGGAATAGGAATAGGAATAGGAATAGGAATAGGAATGGGGAGCAGCAACATGGCCACATAATGGCCCCTGCCGTCTCTTTTCATTGGATCGCCGTTGTCCTTGCAGCACCGAAAAGACGTGTCGGCTCTGCGACAACCTTGCCCGTGGACACCAGAGAACGTTTCTGTACATGTGTAAGACGGAAACGCAGCCAGAACTGGGCATGGATGGCGCTGATCTGGGCTTCTTCAGCCGACAACTTTCGCCAGTGCAGCTTGATACTGCTCTGACCCTGCCTTCATCACACAGCGTCAGCATCTGGATTTGCTCTGCGGCGCCGTCTGTACTCAAGTCAAGCGCCGCCAGCAAGGATTGGTGCGGCCTTCGGCCTTCTTAATCTTCTTGCCAATGCCCGTGCTGAGGCAAGTCCGGGAATGCGCAATACCTTGAAGCTAAGTATGTTCAGGCTGTGAGCCAAAACTTCCGCTGTCAAAACCTCGCCAGCAACAAAACCAAACTGCAGAACTATCAGAAACTTCAACAATTGTGACCCTATGTTAATTTAGGGAACCTGCCGAATGAGTGTGAGTGGGTGCGGAGGAGGATGCGAAAAAAAAACCGTCCTTTTGCTGGGCGTACCCGCGCACAATCATGGAATAGGCAATCGCAGAGCCGCTCGATCCCGACCTGACTGCGACACCTAAACCAAAAGCCAGCTGAACACGTCAGATGGAGACTATGGTATCATCAACTTTATGTATGTTCTTCCTCTACGCGAAATCTGTCATGGTGGGCTCTTCGGTAGCTCTGGACCCTATGAACCCTAAGAACAACTGGCCCCTGATCCTAAGCCCTAAACCCGACCATTCCTCTGAAGACCGAAATCACTTTTACTGCCAAATGGTTCGTGCGAACGAGCTGCGCCGATTTCTTCGCGAGTTCATCCTTGGTCTTGGAAACCTGGCCGACAAGGCTTTGGATGCGCTGGGACTACCGTGCGCACCGGGCCCATCTACACAGGTGTCGCAGGTGCAGTCCTTGTTGTGCAGGAACATACCACACGGGCCCCGCAAGAGGGTTTACAGGGCTTAGGGTGTTGGGGTTGTAGGGCTTAGGGTTTGGATGGAGTCCCATTTCTGTAACCCCAAGCGCTGAACCCTAAACCATAGTGTGACAGCCAAGCAGTGCGAAGCAGACGGCAGGACCTCGGCGTCGGCCTAGGAGGGAGGGAGTTGCAGCTGGCGATCAAAAAGCTTTGATCCTCCGTATGGTGGCTACTCTTTATGCAAGGGGGCGAAAATAGGGGTACCTTATTGGGGTCCTGATTATAAGGGGATCCTACTATTTGGGGGTCTAGTTTCGGGGAGCCACGACAATCTAGAACTGACCCCTGTTTTGCTTCGAGAGTTTTAGGATGAAGCGCGGGCTGCTAAACAAACTCGTGCCGTGCCGTGTAGCTGATACCAAAGCAGTCCAAGCATCATCCTTTCCAACGCTTTCGATGATGTCCTGTTGCAGCTGCACCTTTGTCAGTCAATGGCTGTGAGATACATAGGATTTAGGTGGGTGCAAGGTTTGGGCTAATGGTGTATCCTGATTAGTGTGCCCCCCCCCCCCCGGAATTCTATTTGAGGGGGTCGCCCGGAATTGTGAAAAAAATCGGGCGATGCAAAATTTCGGCGAGGCTGTTGCATAGAGCTGTTCTCTAGAAATCGCTTCTGAACTGAGCCTGAGAGCCTGAGAGACATAAGATCTGAGCCTGAGCAAAGGTTTAAAGCCTGAAACCTTGAGGCCTGGGTTGTGAGGCCCTGAAATCTTAAGTCTCCCGGCCAGCCCCATGTAAAATGCTTTTGTACCGAGGCCAGGCAATCAAATTTCAAAGGGGTGGTCCAGCAGCTGCCCGAATGCCGTATAATGCAAAACGTGTGGTCCCCCAGAATGATGTTTTTTTCTTGCGGGCTGGCTTGGTTGGGATAGATGGATCCCCTTTAATTCATGTAAACTCATCCCTTTTTGAATCATGTGAATCCCGTTTAAAATCATATGAACCCATGTTAAAATCGTATGGATCCCTTTTCATGTCATACAATCTCACCCCTTTTAAAGTCATATGGACCCCTTTTGAATCATACAAGCTCATCCCGTTTAAAATCATATGGATCCGAAAAACATATGGATCCTGTCTAAATTCATATAAGCTCATCCCGTTTAAGATGATAAACGGGGGGAGGGGGGGGAAGGGGGAGGGGGGGGGGGGGGGGGGGGGGGGGGGGGGGGGGGGGGGTCGGTCACACTAATCAGCAGACAGCATTGGCACCCTAAACCCTAAACCCTAAACCTCTCTTTCATATATAATTTATATGTTATAATTTATATGTTAATGGAGTTGCTGGGCAAGGTCATTTTTTACTGGGCAAGGTGATCGTTTTTACTGGGCAAGGTCGTTCGGTCCAAAAAACGACCTTGCCCAGTAAAAAATGACCTTGTCCAATAAAAAATGACCTTGCCCCGTAAAAAGCAACCTTGCCCAGTAAAAGAGTTATTGGGCAAGGTCATTTTCTACTGGGCAAGGTCATTTCTTTTACTGGGCAAGGTCATCTTTTTTCTTGGGCAAGGTGATTTTTTACTGGGCAAGGTCATTTTTTAGTGGGCCCAGTACAAAAATGACCTTGCCCAGGAAAAAAAAAAAGACCTTGCCCAGTACAAAAAATATGACCTTGCCCAGTAACTCTTTTC